GCTGGTCTGTGTTATAGCTTGAGGTTTTGCATAAGGTTTTGTTTGGCGGATGGCTTCCGCTGCTAAAAATACAAAAGTTTGCAAACCTCTGCTCTTGGGGGATGAGGTTTCTTGGCATTTCCGAGGATTGGGAGCTGTTTGAAATGCTGCCCATCCCATTCCTCATGCCTTGGGGAATTCCAGGACCTCTGCTCTCCTCATCGGTCAGCCTCATAAGAAGGGACCCTTCTTATCTCTGACCATTGAAGGTGGGAGGCGACTTCATGATATGGGGAGAAGTCAGCACTGGCGTGACCACCCCTGCACCCTCACTAACTTAACTCTGACCCTCCCCCTCGGGGCCTCAGTGGCCCTGTCTGTAAAGTGAGGGGGTTGGACTGGATGACACCTTGGGCCCCTCCAGTTCTGCCCTCAGAGAGGAGCATCTCTGCCTGCAGCAATGCCTTCAGGGGAGGCTGGTGGCCAGCAGGCACTAACCATTTTCCATGCCATTTTCTGGCCCTGCCTTAGTGACCAGCACTGTTAGATGGCCAGCGGTGGCCAGACCACTCACAGTCGTGCTAAAGGGTCCCTGAGCCCCTGGTCAGGCCAGTTATATCCAAAGTCCCCCACAGCCTGGCTTTTGGTCTTAGGCTCTAATTTCCTAAAGTGACTAAATCTTAGTACACATTTCACAAAGCCAAGGGCACAGTTTTCACCAACTCTCTGGACGAGAGGGGTCTTTTAGGCACAAAATGGTGAGGCCTTTGTAGTATTTCCGTGGACATGATGTGGGCCTTCATTATCTCCTCAATAATATGTCTGTGGGACCTGACCTTATTCTGGTAGCAGAAAAAGAATTTAATGCTGAATTTGTAACCTTGCCCTCCTACCCTCTTCCTCCGCCCCCCACCCCAGCAGTAAAATACAGCCCCGATTTATTTGGGAGGAGAAATCAAGCTCATTTGGGAGGCCTGGACACTCCAGTCACCTTGATTGCCATTTTGCTCTGTGAGTCTTGTGGAGTGTTTCCAGGCTTCTTGCAGACTCTCTTCACTCCTCACAAGGAGAGGAAGTGGGCCCTAGGAGGCAAGGAGATACAGGTGTGTTTGAGGACTGCAGGGAGGCCTTGTTCAGCCTGAACTGCCCTAGGGGCCTTCAAGAGTACACACCTAGGCCACTG